AAACCATTACATTCCATTGTAAAATTTTATAAGATACATTGTGTAATTTAAAATAGTTACAATTAATTTAAAAATGTAAAACTATATTATCAGAAGGGGTTTTGTGGAGATTTTAGTATTTTTATAGAGTTGAGTTTAATTGAGTTGAGTTTAATAGGACGAAACGGCCGTCCAGTGCTTCCAGGTTTTCCATGGTAGTCTAGCTTCAATTGACTCATGATCTCAACTCTATAAAAATACTAAAATCTCCACAAAACCCCTTCTGATAATAATCAGGTGCTCACTAGTGACTGACTCCTTGAGGTATTTCCTGGAGTTCTAGTGAGAAGCAGTAACCGGTGGAGTTCAACCAGGTCTGTTGTGAGATAGGAACTCACTGATGACATTGGTGAATGGTTGCTCAATTTCGTGAATCAGTTGAAGTTAGAAATTAACACCGTTGGATGCCAGCTCAGTGGTCTATTGGTTAAGGGCTTCGGCTCGAAACTGGTAGGTCCTGGGTTTGAATCCCGCGAGAGTGGGTTCGTGGACGCGCACTGCTGAGGAGTCCCATAATAGGACGAAACGGCCGTCCAGTGCTTCCAGGTTTTCCATGGTAGTCTAGCTTCAATTGACTCATGATCTCAACTCTGTAAAACTATATTGTTCAATCAAGATAAATTAAAGTAAACATTGTTTTTTTTTTGGTAATTGATACTTTAAATGTACTTTTAAATATGGTACCATTTTGTTTTTAGAATGTTCTTTTTTGTATTTTTTTTTCTCTAAAATACTTGTTTAGTTCATAAAGTTTAAAAATGATATTGATCAATTAATTTAGTTGCTATGTTCACTTTTTCTTGTTAAATTATAATGTTTACCTAGATAAACTAATTTTTTTTTAAAAAAAACTATAATTTAAAATTTTGCTGGTTTTTTTTTCTTCTGTGTTTAGCAACAAAAAAAAAATAAAAAATGTACTTGCAAAAGAGAAATTTAACTTATTTTGTTTTTTGTTATGTTCTTGAAAGTATCATATGTCATGCATATTTCTTAACAACAATAAAAAAATATTTTAGAATTGAAGATGTTATCTTATATGATTTGAAATGTTCATAATAATAATGTATTATAAGCAAAGATGAATAATGGGTAGCAGTGGAATACAGATTGACGCGCATTTCGTCCTATTTGGGACTCGTCAGCTAGATGTACCTCCATCTCAGAGTTGATGTTCACTCTGTGACTCGAACCCAGTATCTTTCGCTTTAAACAACATAGCATTATCCACTCAGTTACTGAGTCCTGATAACCATTTGCTTGTGCAAATGGGGTGAAGTTGAAATTTACTTAATATTGTTTGTTTGGATCTATCCATTGATGTTTTTAGGACTGCAACTGATCAGTCTCTAATTTAGGCTATATCGAGGCAAAACGCACAGTATGCACATATGCTAATTAGAGACTGACCAGTTGCAGTCCTAAAAACATCAATGGGAATATCCAAACAAACAATACTAAGTAAATAATGTATTATAGTTGGGTCATTGAATACAAGATAACCTAATCTACTATCTATCTATCTCTATTGTTTTTACAAAAGTATAAAACCTGAAAGCACTTGACGGCCGTTTAGTACATCTGATAATTATAATAATGATATACTTACTAGTGACTGACTTCGAGAGGTAAATCCAGGAGTTCTAGTGAGAAGCAGTGACCAGTGGAGTTCAAACCACGTCTGTTGTAAGATAGAAACTCACTGAAGACAATTGGTGAACGGTTGCTCAACTTTGTCGATTGGTTAGAGTTAGACATAAACACCATGGAAGTAACAGGCTTAAGTAAGTAAAAAAAGTACCATGGGATGCCGGCTCAGTGGGCTATCGGTCAAGTGATGTGGTGCAAGAGTGGTAGGTCCTGGATTTGAATCTCGCGAGGCGAGGTCGTAGATGCGCACTGCTGAGGAGTCCCATAATAGGACGAAATGGCTGTCCAGTGTTTCCAGGTTTTCCATGGTGGTCTAGCTTCAATTGACTCACGCTTTCAACTTTGAAAAATACTAAATCTCCACAAAAACCCCTTCTGATAAAAGTATAAAACCCTAGAAATGTAAGTAATTGTAAGGATGACTCGTTGACAAACTCAAGGAAGCTTCAAGAAGCCCAAAAAAGGCAGAAGATATTCTATCCAATCACCATTAGAGGAACATTCTAGAATGTAGAGGTGTAGCTTCCCTATTGGATGAATAAGAAGGATAACCTATGTACCTATTGGCTATCCGAGATAATGATTTACTTTCAGTGGAAAACTATAAATACATGGGATTTTCGTACTATACTTGACACTGTGTTGAGAATAACATTCCTACTTACTAGTCTTCTGTCTTGCGACGTTGAGGGTTCGATCGTTCAAGTAATCTAGTAGTACTTGGCATAGCAAGAATCAAAGCTCTAGATATAATAGTAATAAGTTAATTATGTTACGTTCAGGTCAAAGAAAGTGGTTAGAATGGAGAAAACAACGTACATATTCAGATTTAGAACACTTTTATTTTAGCAAACAGAGTTATGTGTCATTCAATCTTACAAGTTTCACTTTAAAATATTTGAACTTGTATTTGTCCTTTGATCTGTTTAAAGTTTCTATAACTTAAGATGTACAGAAGAATTATTGTTGGTGCATTCTTTGAAGATAAATAAACTGTTTAGTTGTTTAGAAATTTTATAATTTAAGTCAAATCTGTAATTTTTTCTCAATCTGAAAGATTACAACTTAATATGAATCAGTGTGAAATACAATAAAACTAAACCTTAAATAGTATTCTTCAAAGAGGAAGTAATCTCGATAGTGTAATAAGAAGATGAAGATTGTCAGAACTATGTGCTATATTTGCACAATACATTTCGAACAATCTGATCACATCAGTTCCCTCAAGATTACAGGTATACCTTGCTGACGAGTGCCAAGTAGCACGAAACCCGGGTCCAGTGTTTCCTGTTGACCACCTCTAACCACCATGGTGCACACAGTGTCGAGCCACCTAGACTAGTGGCCACATTGCAACTTGACCGATAGCACTTGATCAGCACTAAGACGGACTTGACATACATGACATCGATCACCACCCAGTGATCAATCAATTGTGATTACATCTCAGTCCTACAGGAGGTCGATCACACCCCGAATAGCTAAGTGGTAACGTCTCTGACTGTGAAGCTGAGTGATACGGGATCGAATACATCAGGGAGTACCAGTTCCCAGAAGATTCTAGGTACACCTTTCTGACGAGTGCCAATTAGCACGAAACCCGGGTTTAGGGCCTCCTGTTGACCACCTCCAGCCATCATCTTATCTCAACAAAGTTCTTAACAAGTATATATGTGATCAGATTATTGTATTGAGCTGATAACGTCATCATTATTCAGAAGGATAATCAAGCTTTAATTACTCCACTCTGCTGAAATAGTACAATAGTACGATGTTAACCAAAGCATTTATCTTTGTTACAAACATTTACTATCATACCAGTTTAACTTGGTAATGAAGGGTTAAATAATTAAAAGTGATCTATGTGTATTCATACAATTTCCCTTTCTTGTTATAATCTTTAAACACAAATGAATATGATGTTTATTATTTGGCTTCATGTACACAGGATCTTGCAGAAAATTGTTTAGTTCTCACTCGAATTTTCATAAATATTACTCGGAAGTTACAATTGTTACGCATTAATTGATGATTTACTGTTGACTACTCTATTAAAGTCTTTTCTTACATACATATGATTTGATCTAACAAGATAACCAGTTATATTTATATTACATAAATAACACATAAAAAGCAACAAGGAGGATCTGATGCAGACGTAAAGACAAGGATATAAATAATAAGGATCGCATTTCTATAAATGAAGAACATATGGAACTCAAAACAACTGTTAACAAATATCAACGTCACTATCTTCAATAGTAAGGTTAAGACAGTTAGTTCTACTGTACTGAGCTGAAATTCGGACAACTACCGCAACCATCATCAAAATGGTACAAGTATTTCTAAACAATTTTTTACTCAAGATACTCGATACTGGTTGGCCAGATACCATCACCAAGAGCCTACTGTAGGAGAAAACAAACTAAATTCCACCTGAACAAGAAATTAGGAAAAGACTTTGGAAGTGGATAGGACACACATTGAAGAAATCATTAAACTGTACGACGAAGAAAACGCTAACTTGGAATCCTGAAGGAAAGTGGAAACGAAGAAGTCTAAAGAACACACTGTGTTGGGAATTGGAAGCAGACATCAAAGTGCTGAATAACAACTAGAGACAACTGTAAAATATTGTCCAGGACAGAGTTAGATTGTGAAGAAATCCATAGTATTAAATGTCAATTCAGTCATCACGAATTCTTAGTATCTTTATTTTGATTGTCCATTGGATTATAGCCGAGTATTCGTGAAGTACCATATATTCAGATTACTAGACTGTACTCCCTGATTTTTAATGACTATTTAATTACAACTGATCGCTAAATCTAAACTGTTTTTTATATATAGTTGAAATCAAGAATCAACTGAAGCTAGACCACTATGGAAAACCTGGAAGCACTGAAAGGTTGCTCAAACAACGTAGATTGGTTGAAGTTAGACATTAACACCGTTGTATGCCGGCTCAGTGGTCTATCGATTAAGTGACCCGGCGGGAGACTGGTAGGTCCTCGTTTCGAATCTCGTGAGGCGAAATCGTGGATGCGCACTGCTGAGGAGTCCCATAGTAGTACAAAACGGTCGTCAAGTGCTTCCAAATTTTCTTTGGTGATCTAGCTTCAATTGACTCATGATTTCAACTATCAAAATACTGAAATCTCCACAAAAACCCCTCTTTATCTAAAAACATAATTGGAAAGGATTTATTAGCAAATAAAATCATGAAAAAACATTTTCACATTTAATGGTTTCATACTGTAATGTATCATTATTTTAATGAGTAATTCTATTCATATTACTCCTTAGTTTACTTTTAAGATTAGTTTCATTAATCATTATAGAAAAGTACACTAATGCAATATTGAATACTAAGAATATTGTTTTAAGGAAATCATATTCTTTAATGGAATCTCTTTCAAATAATGTTGATAATGATAATGATGAACATAAGATTACAATGAACATTTGCATTGAACCAAGTACATAATCTTCTACTTCTACTTCAACATCATGACCACCTTGAAGTGTTTGAACTGTCATGATTGTAAACTAAAATTTGTAATAAAAAAAAAACAAACAAAAACTCACTGTTCGTATTTAGTTGTATGGTTTACTGTTGTTTTAATAATAGAAAATTATTAGAATCAGATTTACAAAGTTAAGCTGGATTTTATCATGGATTGATAACCAAAGTCCATTAGTCTTATCCTAGTTTGAAGGTTTACAGTAGTATCTTCTTCAGTGGTCAAGTTTAGAATGTTTAGATTTTATGGCATGTTTACTAACTTTACATTGCCCCCAAATGCCCTGGTATGGCCGAGAGTGGGGAGAGTCCGCTCTCCCTCTCCAAATGCTGTCATATGTCCATGTGTAATATAGCCTCTGTCAGGGAAGTCCTACTCACTGCCTTCTCGTGGTGGGGGTGTTCTTTATGAAATTAAGAGGACGAAAAGCGAATGTCCAACGCCTTAACCGGGTTGGTGGATATACAGAGTTCACCAAGAGGAGTTGGAAAACCCTGATTCCAAACCAATGGTGCACATGGGCTCCAGTATACTGAGGGAACAAATGGCGTATGAACCAATTGTTGGTCACCGGCTACCAAGGGACTGCATTTCCTCACGATGCTCTACTGCCTTGTGGGTTAGACCTCTAGGTCAAAGGCTCCTGGTGTGGCCCCTTAAGAAAACCACCTGCTTCAGTTTGGGCACCTAGTCAGTATCACAGCCCTCACAAAAATCTCATTTGATCTGTGTGGCGTATATATATCTGGTGCCTCCTTGTACCAATATTTATGTGTATAAATAAATAAAATAACTTTACATTGTCGAAAGTGAACATTCAGATGAAGTACAAGTTTTTATTATCATAGTTGAAATCATGAGTCAATTGAAGCTAGACCAACATGAAAAACCTGGAAGTACTTGATGGTCGTTTCGTCCCATTGTGGGACTCCTCAGCAGTGCGCACACATGATCCCGCACTCGCGAGATTCGAAACCAGGACTAGACGTGACATAAGTACAAAGTTGAAGGAATACTTGTTTTTTTAAAACTTAATTCCTTTACGAAGTGGATCGTAATGAATTCATCCACTCCTGATATCACCCAAAACAATACTTCAATCTGAAACTTTCACTCAGTATTAAAAACATCCATTTTAGCTAAATGTTGACATTCAAGGTAATTTTGTATAGTATAATCAAAATGTGAAACTTTCGAATTCATTCCTTGTTTTACACCAAAAATATTGAAAGATTTGATACCTTCTCAAAGGATGTCCACCTTTCATAAGTGTATAATTATCCATTAATTTTCCACAATTATTACGTAATAAAAACATAAAAATTGATAAGCAAAGATGGACAGTGGCTAGCAGTGGAATCCAGATTACCGCGCTTTTCGTCCTATTTGCGACTCGTCAACTAGATGTACCTGCATCTCAGAGTTGATATTCACTCTGGGACTCGAACTCAGTAACGTTTGCTTCAAACACCATTGCATTATACACTCAGCTACTGAGTCCTGATAGCCACAAACAATACTAACTGAATAAAAATTGATGTTTCCTCCTTCAAAACAATTACAATTTGTTTTCAGGACTATTTCTGAAGGAATAATCATAGATCAAAGTATGTTTTTGACAAGGTTCCGCTTTCTGAGCTAGAAGATTTGGTCGTTGAGCTTCCATTTTTACTCATCTATCTGAATTACAAATCTTCTTCATTATATCAAGATGCATCCATTGTTGCTCAAAAATCTATGACTTTTCCTCAGATAAAGTATATTGAAAATCCCCCCTCAAAGTAATTTAGCACACATAAAAAGAACTGATTTATTTAAGTAAATATACTGATCGACAACGCTCTATTTTTTTAGAAAATATTTAGAAAATATCGGATAATTTCATTTCTTTAAACCCAATTACTACATCACAGCTCTTCCTACTTTCACTATTCATTGACCACTGTACTTTAATCAAAATTAAGTAGTATGATACGATTCTGAACTATTCATATTCACTAAACTAATCAGAAATTTTCAGAAGGGGTTTTGTGGAGATTTTTGTAATTTTGTAGAGTTGAGATCATAATTCAATTGAAGCTAGACCATTATGGAAAACCTAAAAGCACTGGAATGCTTTTTCGTTCTACTATGGAAATTTTCATCAGTGCGCGTCCACAACCTCGCCTCGCGTGATTCGAACCCAAGACCTATCAGTCTCGCGCCAGAGCACTTAACCGATGTACCATTGAGCCGGTATCCAACGGTGTTGATGTCTAACTTTTTTAGTTACGAAAAAATCATCTAAATTGGTTTAAATGATAACTTATAAAGTGAACAGTTAAATGTTATTAATTTGTATAAGTTTGAAAATTGATATAGTCCTGGATACTGTATATCAAAATGCAAACTGCGTTCTTTGAGAGCATACTTTTCAGTCAATCTATCCCTGACCTTATGACTTTCTATCTATTTCTGTAGAACTTAAATACTGACAAGCATACTTACATATTTCACTGTACTTCACTTGATAAAGTGATTCTTTGTCATTTATCAAATTGCGTATTAAGAAATATGTACAAGACTGAATGTGATTTCATTTGATAACTACTTTCATAATGAAATGGTAACTAGATATAATGACTGTTAATACAAAATCGTCATTCTGATTATGTATCGAATTACTATTACTACTACCATTTAAAGGATTTAGATAACGTTAATCAGAAAATTAGAGAAAACATGTTGTCATTGAGATAAATGTCGATAGTTTGTAGAAAGGTATTCTTATAGTTGAAATCATGAGTCAATTGGAATTAGACTACCATGGAAAACCTGGAAGCATTGGGCGGCCGTTTCGTCCTATTGTGGGACCCCTCTTAGGACGAAATGGCTGTCCAGTGCTTCCAGGTTTTTCATAGTGGTCTGGCTCCAATTGACTCATGATTTGAACTATAAAATTACTAAAATCTGCACAAAAGCCCCTTCCGATAATAAATGTATGTGTTGAAATTCCATTGAAAATCATTAACATAGGAGCTTGGTGGTAATTTCTGTTCATATGCGGGGTTTTGTAAAATAAAAACCAACGATTATCCTATGACAAATTTCTTTGGCTCAACAATATCTAGACACGAAAAGTTTGTTTCTTTCAAGAACATTTAATGAAATCAACATATTATGCTCTTTAATCTCCAGTACCAAGAGAATGCCACAAATCAGATTTCAATGTCAGTTGTGGTTGAAATATTTTGTCCTAATAAAAAAATGTTTTTTAGTGTGAAATTACCAGAGACAATTGACACTGAGTGCCACAAGTTCTAATTATACAACAAATATTAGTTTCGTCCAAGTCACTGATATCTCATGCTATCGAATGCGAGCGAGAACGAAACACAAATCCAAGGATTCCTGTTTATTAATACAATTGAAAATCATAAGCATCATATTTCTTTTTCTAGTCTTACATGTAAGGTCGATTCGCGAATATACTATGAAAACTATGTAGAATGACTGCAACTAAACATTAAATTGAAGGCAAAGATGGATAGTGGCTAGCAGTGGAATCCAGATTGACACGTGTTTCGTCCTATTTGGGACTTGTCAGCTCGATGTACCTGCATCTCATAGTTGATATTCACTTTGGGACTCGGACCCAGTACCTTTTGCTTCAAACGTCATCGCGATATCCACTCGGCGAAATAGGACGAAACGCGCGTTCTGAATTCCACTGCTAGCTACTATCCATCTTTGCTTACCATGCTTGTGAATTTAGGCTATATCGAGGGTATACGCGCAGTATGCACATCTGCTAATTAGAGACTGATCAGTTGCAGTTCTAAAACATCAATGGAAAGATTCAAACAAACAATACTAAGTGAAATTAAATTGAAAGCCTGGTTCTTCCTTTCGTCTTGATATGAGACGTAGTAGCGAGCAACCATAAGTCTAACCCCAGTCATTTTGGCATCTTTAAGCTAAGAATGTTATATAAACGAACAAAAATCTTAAATCATGAATTAAATCAATGTAACTTACAAATTGAAAGTGTATAAAAATGAACACCATGAACAATTTACTTGTTAGCTGTTATAATTTAAAAAGAAAAATGAGCAAAGAGTTATGAATTAAAATGGAAGACTTTGTCTTTACAAAAGTTTTTTTTATGGAATATTTCTAATTATTCTAATTATTCACTTTGGGACTCGAACGCAGCATTGTTTGCTTCAAACACCATCGCGTTATTCACTCAGCTACTGAGTTCAATTGCAGACCTAAACATCAATGGGGAGATTCAAACAGCCAATAGAAAACAAATTAAAACTTCACTCTATTGCACAATCTAGTGGCTATCTGGATTTAGTAGCTAGGTGGACAAAGAGATGACGTTTTAGCGAACAACACTGGGTTGAAGTCCAGAAGTAAACATTAACTATGGGATTTAGGCTCATCCAGTTGGCGAGTCTCAAATGGGACGAAACGTACGTCCTGCATTCCACTGCTAACTATTATCCATCCCCGCTTAGAATACTTGTGATTTAATGACAACATGAATGAGATCCGCTCAGGATGCACATATGCCAATAAGAGACTGAACAACTGCAATCCTCAACATTAATTGGAAGATTTAAACAACCAATACAAGATGATAATAATAATTGATTACTAAAACCCAATAATACAGTTATCTTTCTGTTTCTTAGGGTCTTCATAAAAAATAGTCGAAGATAAAAACTCTTAAACTACTATATCGCTTTAGACATTGCTTATCAGTCAAGTATACCAGGAAACTTCAGGGGACTAATACTGCTTGTGTACTTTGGTCTCAAAGTATTTGGAATCAGTCATAAGCATTATCACTAAGCTTCTTGAATCAGGATTGACCTGTTTGTAGAAGTGATATATTCACCCAATTGACATATATATATATTCACAAAATTACTGATTTACTTACTAATTCAAATTCAAAAAAAGTAAATATTAAGATAAAGATTGGTGTAAATAATAGTGGCACTACAAATACAAAGAAATATCGATAGAAAAACACTGTTATATCATAGGAATATTTTGTTGTAATGATAAATAGGATCATTGATGTTATTAGAACAATAATGAATGAAATAGCATCATCAACTGCACCATTTTGATATGTAATATTGACCACAATGGATGAATGGAAGATTGTCTAAAATTGTTTTCCATGAAGAAGAAGAAGAAGGGAAAAAAAGAAATAGAATGAATTGCATAAAATCGGTTATCTACAATTAGAATGTTTTGAATAAACCCTATTGTCTGTACAGTGGTCAGCATTAGACGACCGGTCATTTTTCTTATCTTATTTGAGATTTGTTAGTTGGCTGCACCTTACGTGATTGTAATTTCACTAACAGAGCTCGAATAAAATAATCGTCGCCAGGCTATTGAGTAATAATAGTTGTCATTCACCTGACAGGTATAATATACACATTCCACAAACGCCTTGACAGGTCTAAGGTTTGGGATAGTCTACTCTCACTTTCGAAATTACCTCATACGGTCAACAGTTTATAGCCTTTACCAGGAAAGTCCTACCCATCACCTCCATGTGTCGGAGATGTGAGTAGACGCAGGGTGATTGAACTGAGTCGGTGTGTATACATAGGTTTTCTACAGCATCTAGAAAACCATGGTATCATACCATTATGAGACATGGACTCCAGAATCCTAAAATAACAAATGGCATACGAACTCATTTTAGTTACCGATTATCTATTAGCAGATTGTTTTATTTGCCGTTGCTTTACTGATCTGAAGTTCATTTGTTTATCTGTTAATCTTATTATGATTATATGGTTTAATAGTTGGAAACTTATTACACTATATTTATTCTTAAATAATTGGATCTAACTAAATAAACAGCCGTCCAGTGTTTCCAGGTTTTCCATAGTGGTCTAACTTCAATTGATTCATGATTTCAACTTTGAAAAATACTGAAATCTCCACAAAAACCCCTTTTGGTTATATAAATGTTGGAACCAAGATAATCATCATAAATGGATTTCAATTTATATCTTTGATTAATTGAAACTATAAAAATGAATCATTTTGTTTCAACATAATGAGTCAAATGGTTATGATCTAACTATGAAATTTGAAACTCCTAGTTTTAATCTCTGAGATGATTATGAGTTCACACAATTGAAGAGTTAAATTCTATGGTAAAACAGTTGTTAATCTGTGTTAGAAATCACTTAAAATTATATTTATGGAAAGCATCAATAAATTGTGTATTTACTCAAGATATTAATTTTACACGGTTACTAAAGTAACAATTAGTCACATCTAAATTGTTCATGTAAAATGGAATATGATAGAGAAATACAAAGACAAATCACTTCGACATATATAAATAAGATCAGAAGGGGTTTTTATGGATATTATAGTAATTTTAATAGTTGAGATCATGAGTCAATTGACTGGCTTTAATAAGTATTTCCTAGAGTTCTAATGAGAATCAGTGATCAGTTGAGTTCAATTGGGTCTGGTGTTAGATAGTAACTCGCTGAAGACAATGGTAGATGTGTCGCCCAATTTCATGGATCGGTTCAAGTTAGACATTAACATTGTTGAATGTCAGCCAGCTCAGTGGTCAATAGGTTTAGCGTTCACGCGTGAGACCGATAGGTCCTAGGTTCTAGTCTTGTGAAGCGAATTCGTGGATGCACACTGCTGAGGAGTCCTACAATAAGACGAAATAGCCTTCCAGTGCTTCTAGCTTTTCCATAGTGGTCTAGCTTTAATTGACTTATCATCTCTACTATTAAAATATAAATAAGGGGACTTTATAATTGAAAATAAACTTTTATTTCAAATATATATTATTAATAATAAATGTATACTTACAAAAGCACTCAATATAATTACATTAAGAGGGAAGAATCGTTCTATATTTGGAATTTTTAAAAGAATAACTGCATTATAACCATTCAGTAAACTGAAATTAATAAGCAATATTCAGGTAATCAATGTTGGCATTATACTGTATTGAATATATAAGATATGAAATAATAAAACTTAACTGATCGTTTAGTAGTTGAAATTAAGTTTAACTTGAATAAACGAACAAATAGTTATCAGAAGGGTCTTTGTGGATATTATAGTAAGTTCAATAGGTGAGATCATGTGTCAATTGATGCTAGACCACCATAGAAAACCTGGAAGTATAGTTGGATGAAACGGCCGTCCAGTGATTCTAGGTTTTCCATGATAGTCTAGCTTCAATTGACTCATGATTTCAACTATTGAATTAGTTATCAGTTAAAGAACAGTTGAAAACAAATATAACATATCATTACATCTACTAAATTCAGAGAGTAATTTCCGGTAAGGTACACAGATGATAGGTCGGATTAAGCTAGACTACTCAAATTTTGTCTTAAAGTTGCATGGAAGTGAGAGACGAAAGTATGGGCAGATTAAATTCACCAAGCTAATCACCTAGATATGATTACTTACTACGTAATTTTCTTTGATCTAGATCACTCTACCCTTTCTATACATATGCATGAATAATGTTCAGAATGATTCACTCTTTAATAGAAAGTTTCTGCTTATTAATTATTTACTCAATTCTCATGACTGTGTTAAGTCTTAGCAAACCTATTTATTATAAATCAGTCAGATTCGTATTTTCGAACATCCTGATATATTATCCACATGTCCAAAGAGATAAACCAAAAGTAATAAAATGGATTCAATTAAGGCATCATTACGAATGATCTATTTGTTAGGAGAATTCGATCTATCCAATTCTACTTAATCAACTGTATTTAATGAGAGATGTTAACAATCAGCAATATTTACTTTACTGAGTACTGCAAATTTTCAGACATTAGTAAGTTTTCTAAACTTATCATTCAAAAGTTTAAGTACTAAGTGTTGTATCCCGTGGAGAATTGTGAATGGTAACTTTGAGGACTATTTATGGACCAATGTGATATGAATATTTCCTATTGTATACTTGTTAAGTAACTAAAGTATCCATATTCCTGTCCATCTTATTATAAGCCTTAGTTTGACCTATAGACTATTAACATATGATTTACCATTTTTGAGTTACCCCTATTCCATTAATGACTGTTCCCCTTATTTACAGCCACATTTGGTTGAATCTTGTACAAAATTTTATTTTCTATTTTATGGTACAATGTGGTCAGTTTGTTTGGTGTATAAACTCAGTATGTTTGAGAATAATGATTCATATTTAAGAAGCTGTTATTGATGTTCTGGACATAACTGGCTGGGCTAGGGAGAAAGCGGGACCGAGTAGTACTCAGGACTGCTCATATGGTTTTTTCGTGTATCATTGCTCTGATCGATAAAATCACTGATCTCTGATTAGCGGTCTAATCACTCATATGTAAACAGGGCACGCAGGCACTCACACGTTATAACGTTAAGTAGAGCTACCAAAGAATATACTGGTAGATCGTACCGATTGCTTTTAAGTAAATATGGTGTAGAGGTAGTTGACCCATAAATCCATGTTGAAAGAGACGTTAATGAATTTTCTAGCTAAATAAATACATTTTTTCTCGTGTAGACAGAACAAAAACAAAATACTGAAGAATTAGAAGTATTGATGTTGTTCAGTTTTTCAAACATGACAATAATTCACAAACACTAAATCATGAACTAGAATAATACGGATTTTCAGTTACTGATATGAATAAATCATTATAGAAGTTGATTACTGAGTAGTAACTAATGTCACATCCTCTTTTACTTAACAATGATCTAATCATATTGATCAATTTAGAGTGTGATCGCTAGTTCATATTAGTAAGTATCGCGATGTATTTTCATGTTGGCAATTAATAGAAGACTGTGGATATTGGGTTTAGTGCTAGGTGGTACTCGACGGTTAGATCTATCGGAGATTTTTGGTGAATTTGATGTCCTCAGTAGGAGTTTATGATAGCAAATTACACTTCAGAGAAAATATTTCGATCGAGACTCAATATTTGATACCAACCTATTTGATCCTATTGAATTTAACTAACCCAAAGTACATAACTGTCATGCACAAAAAATGCTGATTTCTTCACCATTCTGATCAATTAATCTTTTCCACACATTCATCTTCATTCCAAAAAGTTTACTTTTCATTTAAAATAATAACACTTTTATTAGAAATTAACTTCATCTATTCAAATAATCAATTGAGTAGAACTCATCACTATACATCAAGTTCATTTACTATGAGAAGGCGTTCGACAGTGTGGACCGGAGAATATTACGGAAAGTTCCTCGACACTGTGAAGTTCCTCAGAAGATTGTCAACATGATCCAGAACTCATACGACGGACCACAGTGCAAAGTCATGTAACGAGGTCAGCTGACAGATGCATTTCCAGTAAGGAGCGGAGTCAGACAAGGCTGTTTACTCTCCCCCTTTCTCTTTCTTCTGGTGATTGACTGGATTATGAAGACGTCGGAATCTGAGGGGATGCATGGAAAACAATGGGCATCTCAGAATCAATTAGATGATTTGGACTTCACAGACAACCTAACCCTTCTTTCTCATACACATCAACAAATACAGATGAAGACAATTAATGTGGCAGCAGCCTCTGAATTCATGTGCCTCAAAATACACAAAGGAAAAATATTCTCAAATACAACACGGAGAACATCAACCCAATCACACTTGATGGCGAAACTCTAGAAGATGTAGAAACAGTCACGTATTTGGTCAGTTGCATCATCGATGAACAAGAAGGATCTGATGCAGATGTAAAAATCAGGATTGGCAAAGCAAGGGCAGCATTTCTACAATTGAAGAACATATGAAACTCAAAACAGCTCTCAACTAACTTCAAAGTGAGAATCTTCAATAAGAACGTCAAGACAGTCAGTTCTACTGTACGGAGGTGAAACATGGAGAACTATTACATCCACCGTCATGAAGGTACATGTATTTATAAACAGTTGTCTACGCAAAATACTCAACATTTACTGATCGGATACTATCAACAACAGAGTTTTATGGGAGAGAACAAACCAGGTTCCAGCTATAGAGGAAATTAGGAAAAGACGTTGAAATTGGATCAGACATACATACTGTACGTATATACGGTAGACTGTATTGAAAACTTGACGTTCACCGTTGTCAGATTCTGTTATATCAGATTCACCATGGATCTAAATCATGATCAAGGCGTCTATCAATAAATATAACTCTGTTTCAAGTATAACAGGGTTGAATTAAACAACCTAATAATTCTTACCATAACAAATACATCGACCATATATGTTGTCCAATCCATTGATTTAATACTGGTCTTTAAGAAAAAAACATTGACAATTAGACAGATTCATTTCACCTTAGTTAAAATGATACTTACATATAATAAAAGGTGTAGAATACTAAATTCAAAATAAATACTTGAGAAAGGAATACAATAAGGACCTAGAAAATAAATAGAAAGACAATAATATCCATTTCTATTACTTTTCTCTTATCCAATCATAAGTAAAGTTTTATTTGGATCATGAACCGATCAATATTAGAATATTGAAAATATGTTACCTTGATGTAAAAATGTTTCCGATCTGTTCCTTCATTATGTATACCATCATTATTAGTAGTAGTATTAGTAGTAGTACTAATGATATAAATAGTAATATGGAATGTTTCTATTTACTGTTTATCAAACTGCTTTTCTTTTGCTTGATATTCTTGATTCTTAAGCATTTTGTTAGTGAATACTTTAAAATAAAGAAAAAAGACATAAAACTGAGTTATAATAGGTTTTATATATAGGAATTAGCTGAACGATAATTTGTAGTCCTAATGAATTTAGACTAAACGAGAAATACATACTTGCTTACATATGCCTGTTATCCCTCGTGGAGTAGTATAGACTGCACATCAGCATTCTCCATCCAGCTCTGTCCTGGGCAAACCTTTCCAGTTCTTTCCAGTTAATATTCATCCTTTTTTTCATATTTGCTTCTATTTTCCGGCATAATGTGTTCTTTGGCCTTCCTCTTTTCCGCTTCCCTTCCGGATTCCATGTTAGGGATTGCCTTGTAATGCACATTGGAAATTTCCTTAATGTGTGTCTTGTCCACTTTCAACGTCTTTTAATAATTTCCTCTTCAGCTGGAAGCTGTTTTGTTCTCTCCCATAAAACGCTGTTGCTGTTAGTATCCGATCAGTGAGGGAAATACATACACATATTTATATATTAGATAATCATCATAGAATATAACAACCCAATATCATGCTGTGATTTCTCTTTTTACCTGTATTACATATAACCTTTTAACTATACAATTTACATAAATTTGAACGTTATTCAATATACTACTAAATATTTTTGACATAATAAATTGGCTCAATCAATTAGACGCATGCCTTATGTCGGGAATTAAAATCCAATAACTATTAATTTACAATCGTAGAACTTACATCTTACATCAACTCGGCGCCCAAATATTGTGAAACTATTCGCTCTAATTAAGACCAAAATTCTTATATGTAAGTAGTGACTAATCTTATTCGTTTCGAAAACATAACCCTTTATTCTAGTCAGTAATTATGATAATTACATTTTGATTATTGACAGAAAAATGTTGGATTCCATGGTCAGGTAAAAAAAAGATTTTATCTAGTTGACATCATGAGTCAGTTGAAGTTAGACCACCATGGAATACCTTTAAGCACTGGACGGCCGTTTCGTCCCATTGTGGAACTCCTCAGCAGTGTGCATCCACGATCCCGCCTAGCGAGATTCAAACCCAGGACCTACTAGTCTTACGCCACAAAACCCCCTTCTGAAAAAAAGATTGTCGTCAGGTGAGTTATAACAAAACTTCAGTTTTTGAGCTCAATATAATATATCCACCTATCATAAATGAGATATTTGAAGCTATCCAAAATGAAGTCTTCAATTCAACTCTTAATATTGACTTGATATTTAAGTCGTGCTACTCTCTAGAATATCCCAATCAATAAAAGAATTAACTGAACCATGGTATCCTCACTTTAACTATTGGGGTCAGTCAGCGACAACGTAGGACCAGGCACATATATGCATCTGTCCAAGTTGCCATACCTCGTTAGCACAACAAGATGAACACCGGATTCATAGAAGTAATTAATTTAGTGGTGGTAGTATATAAAGAAAGGTTGTATAGAAGGATATAGTATAGGAAGGAAAAAAAGTTATGAAGCAATTTTAATCTCAAGGTTTAAGGGAAGACAGAAAGTGTATACACCTACGCCATTGTGATCGATTCTGAGCCATGTCACCTAGAGTCTCCAACCATTGGTTACGATAGTCACGCGGACCCCAACCAGGTAGTCTGCATCTACCAACATGGCTCAGATTAGAAGTTAATGACTTCAAGCTCTGATGCCACTATCGGGACGACAATTGATGACTAAGATATTTACATATGTAACTCAAAACGTAGTAACATGTATCATGTTTTCTAGCCTATGATATTTGTTGGATTCTCGCATTCAAGAGTATATATATAAAAATGTACAACTTATTTCATGCAATACTAGATACCTTTCTAAATTATTTCATTCATAAAGCCCATTCTGGATAAAAACACATTTTTCTTCATCATTCTTTTCCCTCTTCAGAAATACGATAATACTGCATCTTCTCAGATTTAAATAAACCAATAACACATACCCTAATTCATTACAATGTCTAGATGAATTATATCTAGCCTAAGTCACTGAAATGTATGACCGAAGTTCGACCAGATAATTAGGTTTTAATTTGATATATTAGTGGATTACCTATGACATCGAAATCTTACCATGAATTACGTATGTAAGCTAATTGTAACCATGTTCATCTTTGTGACAAACATCTATTATACAAGTGTGTAAGTTTACTTTAAGAAATGAATTATATCTTATGACCAGTGAATCAACCGTTTAATATCCTTTCATAGGATAACTGTTGTGTCAGTAGACTCGAATTTCTTTTTCTGAATATTCGTTACGTTTATATGGTATAGCAACTATTTTACAACCAATTTTGATTATGGTTAATTTTGGTTAAGTCTTTTCATTAACTCACTCAACAGTAACAATTCGCATATTTCTTTGTACCGTTACTATAACACATGACAGACTCAAGCTAAAATTTCGATCACTTAAATATCATTCGATGATTCATTCTCCTCTCCATGTATATATGTACTCAAATCTTATTATTAGCCTTCGCCTTGCCTTGCTGTGCCCTTATTCTATTTCACTATGAATTTGCCTATGTATTTGCTTGCATACATACATATTCGTCATTCTGCTTCATATTCCCTTGATGTACTTCTAGCTTTGGAATTTGATCTATCCGCTAATAAATTGTAGTTACCGCTTCTCTTCATCTTTCTGATTTCAAACACCACTGAGTTTTATATAATCACGGTTATCGTAGTGATTGATTAATGAAGCAAAGACACTACAATCGTTTCTACTGATCGATTTCAAACTGATTCAACATCTATCTTTCTTCATTTACAACAGTAATAGATCTATCATAAGCTGATAAAAAAGAGCTGAATTTAGACTGATAGGTTGTGGGTTCGAATCTCGCGTGGCGGGATCGTGAGTACGCACTACTGAGGAATCCCATAATAGAACGAAACGGCCATCCAGTGCTTCCAGTTATTCCATGTTGATTTAGTTTCAATTGACTAATGAATTCAACTATAAAAATCTATTCATCATCAATCACCTTGATAATACAAATAAACAGAATCGACTTACTTACTTATTATCTTAATTGGATGATGTAAATTAATTATCAATCTTTTTGTAAATGATACAATACAATTTATTTATGAATTTATAGAATCTATGTATATCAAATTGATCACAATCTTTGAACTGTTCTGATTTATTATGATCTTAAATTTTTCTGATCAACTTTTTTAATAATGATTCAGTTGAATATTCGACGAATATTTCCAAAGTCCACATAATCGATTGATTAACCAACATCTTTTTATCTAGTTACATAAAGATTTAATTTACAGATTGTTTTATCTTGAATGAAATTAATTATTTTATAGGTAATAAACAATAAAATATTGTAAACAAAGATGGGTAGTGGTTAACAGTGGTATCTAGATTGACGCGCGTTTCGTCTTATTTGGGACTCGTCATCTGGATGTACCTATATATCAGAGTTGATGTTCACTCTGGGACTCGAACCCAGTACCTTTCGCTTGTGAATTTGTGGATTTAGTCTATATTGAGGCAATACGCTCAGTATGCACATATGCCAATTAGAGACTGATCAGTTGCAGTCCTAAACATCAATGGGAAGATTCAAGCAAACAATACTAAGTGAATAAAATAAATAGTTTCATACAATGTTTATAATTTACTGTCTTATGGTATGGAAAGTGAACATATAGGCGGCCTGCTTGAATATCTGGGCTACCTGTTCTTACTATCTAGATATTTCAACTAGTTATCTAATTTTGTTTGCTCTAATACATCATTATGGTTATTAATCGTATAACCTATTCAGGTGCGTTTCTTAAAAGTGTATAACCTTTCGTTGTACAAGTTTCAAAAGGCCCAATCAGATATATCGTGGTTGCTGGCAATATGCAGCGAAAATAATGTACATTATTTAGATGTCGATTGATTGGACTGCTAAATTCTAATAGGCTATTACTCAATATTTGTCATCAGGACTGACGAAGAAGTAAGAAATGGAAACTTGTTGAAATACATTGTGCTGAGAATTCCATATTATGCCAAAAATATAATATAAAATCAAGCTAATGATAATAAATAAATGAAGTTAAATTTAATATATCAGAAGGGGTTTTGTGGAGATTTCAGTATTTTCATAGTTGAAATCATGAGTCAATTGAAGCTAGATCACCATGGAAAACCTGAAGATAATTGATAAACGGTTGCTCAAACATCGTGGATTAGTTGAGGTTAGATAATAACACCTCTGGATGCCAGCCAGCTAAGTTGTCTATTGGTTAAGTGCTCCGGCGCGAGACTGGTAGATCCTGGGTTCAAATCTCGCGAGTGCGGGATCATGGATGCGCACTGTTGAGGAGTCCCATAATAGAACGAAACGGCCGTTCAATGCTTCCAGGTTTTCCATGGTGGTCTAGCTTCAATTGGCTCATGATTTTAACTATGATAAATTTAATATTTCTAGGAAAAAGATCATTAAATTTGAATATTTTATACAAAATTATTTCAGCTGAAAAATTAGCAGAAGGCAAACAATTTTTGATAGTTATTTAGTCCTTATTCATATTTCCTCAGCAATGAGTAACTAGAAAGAGTCGATATAGACTCTCTAATTCCTTATGACAAGATATAAGGTTGTGGTGTGGGTTACTTATATCCACATAAGTAGTATATGGTGATGGTCAGGCATAGAATGTATTTTGGCAGAAGATCGTTAAGGGAAGAACAGGAACGAAAGGAAATCCGTATGAAAATGCATGAACAATGAAATCAGAGACGATGGACTGGTATTTGCAGAAAGAACAGTCGAGATTGAGACAACTGATTGATAGTTTGCAAATTCACTGTTTACTGTATGGTTGTCAAATTTTAGTGAGATAGTCTGTAATTAGTGCTTAAATACATGCGATTGTCCCCACTCGTGTTATTGTTCACTACAGGGTTACTAGAATGAAAACAATATATATTATATACAAAAGATATGATTTCCAAAAGTACAAAAAGTTTTAAAACATGAGAAACCAAAAATATCGAATTAAAGAATGTGGATAATAACATACACTGTAGTATCAGTTTATATGTTAAGCCATATACTTTATTCTAGCTTCTGGTCAAGCCAATTCGCCTATCCATTATGGGTCATATTTTGATCTTGTTCATTATTCGCTTATTAACCTTGACTACTTTTTATATGAGCGTGTATGTGTGCGCACTTCGTATCCTATTCACCATATGTCTGTCATTCATTTTTGTCTGACTATAAAAATTGATTAACGCTGGTTTAATATGAGTTGGCTTCCCCGTTACCTCCAATACGCATTACTTTCGCTTCGCTCTCCAGTTGGCTTACCAGCTATCTCCAATACTTGTCATGTATACTTCGCTCGCTAATATTTGCTCATATGCTAACAGCTTTCTGGTCTACGTTGTTTGTCAATAAAAATGTAGTTACCGCTTCCCTTTGCCTTCTGATATTATGCGCCGTTAAGATTTGTTATTATAACGGTTATCGAGGTGAATGATAAACGAAGCACTGCACTACAACATACATCTTGAAAACATCAGAGAACACCTTAATAATCCTATCGGAAATGTTTTATAGACTAAAATCGCATTGAAATCACCAACTTATCAAGGTTCGGAAACCTTTAAAACTGTTGAAATCTTGAATAGCCGTTTCGTTCTAGCATGAGATGACTCACCAGTGAGCACCTGCTACCTTGGAACCGGGAATTAAACCCAGAGTCTTCAGTCTCGCGCATTATCATGGAATGATTATAGCTAGACGTGTACACCACTTGATCCTTTCTTAGTGATCTAGAAGTTAGGTGAGACTGAGGGTCATGGAGTTTTGTTTGCAGGTTCGTGGATGAACACAGCTACGTCGTTCCATACCATGATGGAACAAATGTCCGGTGCTTCCAGGGGTCTGATGGTTGCCTAACGTTGATCAATTTATGATTTCAACGAAATCCAACGATCTTCACATCCCCATACAAACTGGAATCTTTTCAAACCAAATAAACTTTCTAAATTATCTAAACCTTGAATATCTCTTCATTAGATTCACAACATTATTGAATCACTATACTACTCAGATGATAGAACTGCATAGGAAAGATAACTCTTCAGTAATACATACATTATAAATTTGAATCAAGCCACTAGGAAAATTATTTGAACTTTACAAAACTATTTGTAAGTTATATCGTGTAAATAAAAGCTACAGTTAAATCTTACTTTACCATTAATATACCTAAACACAAGAGATATTTATAACGTCCATAGTCCATAATAAGAATGAAATAATCATTGAGGAATACCCATTTTGTTCATTTTGAATCTTAGTTTCACAAATAGAAAAACTTCTCTCAGTACTTTCGAGAAAGTGAAGCATCTATCTCAACCACTAATAGTTGAGATCATAACATGATTAGCTTCATAATTGATTGAAACAGACAGTCAAGTAAATCTATTTAAAAAGCTATACATATAACCTTACAGACACATTTTTACCGTTGTACTGTTGCCATAGAACTGTAGAAAACCAAAAGTCACGTAATTTTAAATTATAGTAATTGGATTCATTAGTCGATCTAAGCTAGACTACCATTAAAAACCTGGAAACGCTGTACGGCCATTTTGTCCTAGCATGAAACTCCTCAGCGATGCACATTCACGATCCCGTACGCTGGACTTGAACCCAGGACCTTCGGTCTTGTGAGTAGCCTAGGATTCGAGCTCATATCGACTCACGTACTCAACTATCAAAATTACTGCTATCTCCACGAATCCCCATCCTGACAATTTTGAATTAACTAATTTGACTACTTATAGTAGTAATAAAGGTTTACGAAAATTATTCGGACACCTGAGCATTTTCTGAATAGTTACTCTATATTTATTTTTGTTAATTATCTTTAGTGTCATTCTGCACATTAATCATATCTTCGTTACTGGCGAGACTAAACTATATGGACGACCTTTGAACGAATCTTAAATGACCTTGAGAAATATCATCCAATCAGCAGACAGTTAGTATACAGTAAAAACATATTATACAAAACTCAAAAATTAAAGGGGATACTGTTCTTTTACATGACTCAAGAACTTATCAAGGTTAGATATAGGTTCAGGAGTTCTAAAATCATAGTGCATCCGGTACAGGAACTCATCCATGTGGCTCCATAGTAGTCGACCTCTGGAGCCATGATAAGGTCTCAAAAATTATTTTAGCCTCGACCACATAGCTTCAATGTTGTTGGTATGGTTTTGGGTTTAGGGTTAGAGTTAAGGTTTAAGGTTAAGGATGAGACTATGAATTATGGACGACCTTTGAGCGACGCTAGAGTGACTCTGAGAGTGTCAACATAATAACTAAGACTTAATGAGGATTGTAGACCTGTGTGAAGAATTCAAATAAAGATTTACAGCTCGTGGTTAAGGTTAGGAGTTATACTTAGGGTTTCCATCACGAACTGACATCAGCTATAATGCCAAAACTCTATTTATACAAATAGATAATTGAATTTCGCGCCAAAATCTTATGATTACTTCTCTTGTAGACGCTGAATTATCACGTCTTCTCTAAAATCCGTTGTAAACCGATTGTACGCAAGCATCAGGTACCGAACTTAGCGCTGTGACCTTGAAAACCCGCGAAAGCTTCTGATTGGCTCGTCCATGTAGTTTAGTCTCTCCAAGAAAGCTAACAATCTTTCATTTACTAGAAAAATTCTTAAGTTACTACTTGGTGATCAGCTCTTGTAAATATCACAGTTAAGCTAGAGGTCTGTTGTAAAACAAATAGCTCAATGGTAACACACGAAACTGTAGGGCTGTACGAGGTGTTTGAATCACATGAGGAGCGACAGTTTCCACAATTTGCAGGTAGGTCCTGCTAACAAGTATGAACTGGTACGAAACTTAGGTTGAACAAGGTTTCCTACTGATTGCTTCTAACAATCTACCATCAAAATGCAATCCAGATGACATAAACTCAGCAGTATTAATCATTACATTGTATTGTCCAGTACTTTGTCAAGCACATATGGGTTATTCTAGCTTCCGGATAGAGCAGTTTTTCATTATTCTTGAGTCACATTTTAGCTTTACCAATTATTCACTTATTATTTTGAATATTTTTACGTGAGCGCATGTGTGTGTTTTGCCTACCCCATTCGTCACGTATCTGCAGCCTAGTTTTATCTGGTTACAAATATTGATTCACGCTTTATGGAACTAAGTTGGTTCACTCGCCTTCTCCGTCTCGCTTCGTTTTCTACTTTTCCAACGATAATCTCAGCTTCGCATCACTTTCCCATGAATATGTATGTACTGGAATCTTATTAATTGATTCGGCTGTCCATTAGCCTGCGTATTTGCTCACTCACTCACGTGCTTGCTAGCTTATCTGCTTGTGGCCTAGTGATCTGTGCTGTTTATTAGTAAGCTGTGGTTGGCGCTTCGTATTGCCTCCTAAATCCATGCACCGATGAGACTTATTTAATAATGGTTATCGGGGCGATCTATATACGAAGCCTAAAGAATTATCTCGAAGCTAACCCACTACAACATTACAAATTGATTGGTAGAACTTAATCATCACCATAGACTAGACAGACACCATATTGATCACTACAGAGTAATCAATCAGTGTAGAAATGTACTTAATTAAGTTATCTTTATTGGTTTTGGTTAACGTAACGCCTGGTAAAACGCAATTAATAGTACAATTAGGTGACCAAATAGAAAATCAAACACTCAGTTATGTGGTACAGTTTTTAGTAAAAGGACTATTCATACTGGTTCGCGTCTCAAACCGAAATAGTCATGATGAGTTCCAAACTTTTAGCATGATGTCTAAAAGTTAGTTACTTCAACGATTAAAGACTGCAGATGGGCGGAAATATAATTTGCTAAGGGATTTGCAATCCTTGATTTCTTTTTTTTTAATGTAACACAATAAAAGGTTAGATCTGAATGGGATGCTTGTGACTGAAGTGTTCAACATTCAACCTCTGATTCATTTGTTCAATTCACCCTCATCAAGTTGATATAACGATAAAGTAAAATTATTTTCTATTTGAAACGTTAAATTACTGTAATACAATAATACAACTGATGACCAAGATGATATCATCATTAGGCTTGATACTCAGCCGACATTCTATAAAAATGTTATTCCAGATACAAGAATGATTTGAAAAGAAAGACAACGAAGCAATGACAAACAACCAAAGTTACTTTTTGTTGTATCCCGAAGAGAATTGTGGATGGTAACTTTTGAGGACTATTTATGGACCAATGTAATAAGTATGTTTCCTATTGTATAAATATTAAGTAACTAAACTATTCATATTTGTGTCCCTCTTATTATAAGCTTTATTTTGACCTATAGACTATTATTATACGATTTACCATTCTTGAGTTATCCCCAGTCTATTGATTATTGTCCCCCCCTATTCACAGTCACATTTGGTTAAATGTTGTACAAATGTTGTTTTCTATTTGATGGTACGATGTGGTCAGTTTGTTTGGTATATAAACCCAGTATGTTTGAGAATAATGATTCATATTACAGAGGCTGTTATTGGTGTTCTGGACTTAACTGGTTGGATTAGGCTGATAGCAGAACCGATACGTGCTCTAGACTGTTCATATAGCTTTTGTGTATCATTGCTCCGATCGATAATTCGTTCTTCTCTCATTGGCGGGAATCAGCACGTTCATATAATAACAGGGTACGCAAGCAATCGATATAACACTTTTTCGCGAGTCGTCTAGCTTAATTAAAAGTCTGTAATGTACTGATACTTAATTTTACTCTTGTTTTATTTAATGAGTCACAAACTTTAGTTTGATGTGTAGATTGATGTTATGTTCTTTTCTATCTCAAATTTATTGTACTTTAAATGTGATCTTTGGATTCCACTTTTCTACTCCAATGTTCTATTTTGGATATGATTGTATTTTTCTCAGTTCTTGTACGTTGTATTCATGTTAGCTATACTTTATTCATATGCCTTTTTTGAGTTTATTTTGGAATTGGGAATGAATCAGATAACACCTTGTTATATATTGTGGCCGAGTGGATGCCCAGTTAATGTATGATATGATAAGACCGCCAGTAAGATAGCAGCGAGTCATCGATTGGAACAGTGACACACAAAAACCGTACGAGCAGTCTAGAGTGTTTATCGCTCCTGCTTCTGTCTAGCCCAGCCAGTTAAGTTCAGAACACCAATAACAGCCTCTGCAATATGAATCCTTATATTTCAAACATACTGAGTTTATATACCAAACAAACTGACCACATCGTACCAATAAAATAGAAAATAACATTTGTACAAGATTTAGCCAAATGTGGCTGTGAGTGTGGGAGGCAGCAATTAATAAACTAGAGATAACTCAAGAATGGTAAATCGTATAATAATAGTCTATAGGTCAAAATAAAGCTTATAATAAGGGGAACATGAGTACGAATAGTTTAGTTATTTAGCAATTATACGATAAAATATATATGCATAATACTGCATAATACCATTCACTATTGTTATCGAGACACAACACACCTCCAAGCAAATCGTTTTCTTTTTATTAGATTTTTATTAGTTTCTATCACTCTCCTATCCAACTCATGAGTTGTAAGTTTTCAAGGTTTTACTAATTAATCTATCACATCAAAAACCCCAAAATAAATTGAGATAATTCCCCCTCTATATATTAAGCAAAGACTAGTGGGTCAACAGATCAAGGGCTTAACAATGACCAATTATAAAGAACCAGATTAAGGTTAGATGATACTTTATTCAACATAATTATAACCAGTCTGCACTCAGTAAGTCCAAAAATTACAAATCAATAATAGGAAAGAAATCATTAATTAAATAGTCAATAAGCTGTATCTATCAGTTCATGCTTAGTGGTCAATCACAATTACTTACATTACTCTTATCACATTTTATACACAAATAGAAGAATAACATAAATATTATAAATGGCAACCATTAAGTGGAAAGAAAATCAAAAAAAGTAAAACCATAACAAGTAAGGAAGTTTGTGTATTATAATCAAAAAGTAATAGGAAATGATTCATTATAAATGTAAACAAGTGAGTGTTTTTTTCTACAAAAAAAAATGTAATAGTAACCATGACAACAAAAACAACAAATAAATAATCAATATATGCACATAAATAAATAAAACAAAAAGGAAATATTGAATAATGAATAAACCAACAAAATAACTTTATTAGCATAATTCTTATGTATATAATATACAATTAAAGGCA